CTTATTATCATCAGATTACCTCCATCTGAGTGTTCAATTTTGTGTGCATTCTTTCAAAATAGAGTACACTCATAGTTCCACCGAGGATGTTTCCCAGTGCAGACTACCATCTTGGCAATGCTGTTAACTCCCTGTCCTTGGAGTAACACTACCTCCAGGAAGTTTCTAGCATCAGAATTTTCTTTTTTTAAAAAAAAAAATTATTTATTTATTATGTATACAATATTCTGTCTGTGTGTATGCCTGCAGGCCAGAAGAGGGCACAAGACCTCATTATAGATGGTTGTGAGCCACCATGTGGTTGCTGGGAATTGAACTCAGGACCTTTGGAGGAACAGGCAGTGCTCTTAACCTCTGAGCCATCTCTCCAGCCCTAGCATCAGAATTTTCTTCTAATTCCCGAGGCACATTAAACAATTATGGCGTGACTAGCTTTTGTCTCCTCTCTTGATTAGGTAAATTATGATATAACTAGTTAATGTTAATACTTATCAGTGAAATTTTGCTAATTAGAATATTTTGTAGTTCCTAAATTTTCTGAAGACCATACTCTATAAAAACACCTTGAGACCCAATATTAATTAGAATTTTTTTAGTAAGTGTTGTTTTCTATTATTTTAAAGATTTTGCTTTACTTTTAATTATGTGTATATGTATGCCCCTCAGAGGCCCAAAGGAGGTGATAGTGTGGATTCCCTGGAGACAGTTAGAGGCACTTAAAACTGTTTGATGTGGGTGCTAGGACCTGAACTCACGTCCTCTGTGAGAGCAGGACATTCTCTGACTTAAGATTAGATTTACTAGTGTACTGTTTTATAAAATAAACTTATGGGAAAGAAAGTTGTTTTGCCTTTTCACTACTGTAATTAAATATTAACTACAGTTAATATTTCCAGGAGGGGAAAAATTCAAGTGGCAGATAATTCCCAATGCTGCTTTTTTTCTGTTTCAGACCTTTATAAACTTGGTCTTTTCAAAGCAGAGAAAGCTCTTCATTGTTCTTAAAGGAACAGTAATTCATCACTTCTCACTTACTGGCCAAATGAAGAGTATGTTAGGTTTTCAATATTGTTTTTTAATGTAGCTCACTATTTTTTTTTTTAGAAAGTAAGACATTTGATAGTATTAACACTGGAATGACTAGCTATTTATGAAAATAGGTATGCATAGTAAGACTTACCTAAACCTTATTAAGGCTAACCAAATGGTGCTTTCTTTTTTGTTTTATTTTTGCTCTTAGTTGGTAGATAAACTCAATACCAATACTGAAATGGAAGAAGTTATGAATGATTACAACATGGTAAGAAAATATACAAATATAAGTAATAATTGTACATAAATCATATCCTCTAAAATAAAGTATTTAACTAGAAGTAGTTTGGTAAAACCTTATGGCCATTAGAGGTAATTATGACTCTGATCATAAATACCACAATTATGATTAATCACTTTTCATTGTTTTTTTTATATCTCTGTTGCTGTTGGAGTAAATATCTTAATATTTGTCAATAAATCTAGGGAAGAACCATCTATATTGCTTGGATATATATTAACAATATTTTGGTGTATAACTTCTTTTTTAAAAAATGTTTCCTTAAGTTTTAATTTTTCTACAACTCCAATTAAAATTCAATGGAAATAATATCTTTAAAAGTCTTCTTATAGTTTTCTTTTGAGTTAATTAAAGTGTGTGGATGTTTTATCTGCATATATGTTTATGCTCAGAGGCCAGAGAAGGCATCAGATTGCCTGGGACTAGAGTAAAGATGGCTGTGAGCCCCCACAGAGGTGCTAGAAAATGAACACAAGTGTTCTGGAAGAACAGCAAGTGCTCTTAACTGCTGAGCCACCTCTCCAGCATCTCCTCATAGTTCTTATAGCAAGGAGAAAAAGGAATGGATATGATACCAGGCATAGCTAACTACTAATTTTGGTAAATGAGAATTTGTGTTCAGTGTTCATGTTAATATTTAACTTACTTTCATTTTAAATATTTGAGTAAAATATAACAATATTATTTAGCTTATAATTTATTTACTTACATGATCAAAGAATTCTGTGAAAACAGCCCTTTTTTTTTCGGACACAGGGTTTACCTGTGTAGCCCTGGCTGTCCTGAAAGCCCTCAGTAGACTAGGCTAGCCTCAAACTCAGAGATCTGCTTACCTCTGCTTCTTAAATGCTGGGATTAATGGCATGTCCTGCATCATCCTGGCTAAAAAAAAAATTCCAGAATTTTTAAAATGAGTTTTAAATTTGGGGGTTCTAAAATAATTAAGTAAATCATTTTTAGTTTCACAAACTTAGAAATAAATTTTATTGCTAGAAATAAATATAGGAAACTTTGAAAAGTATTTGCTTTTTTATTTGGGGTGGATCCTAGCTGTCTGTGTACATACAGTCAGCTAGGAGTATTTAGGAAATCATGAAAGATTTAAGAACAAAATACGTTGATTCTAAATTCAGCATATGGGTAATCAAGTATTTATTGAACATACAGTATGTTTTTGAAATGGTTTTTACATCAATTAAGTTTAATTTTAATTATTGGACAGATCACTAAAGAGAAATGAATTATTTTGATGTGAACTTATAATATCAATATAAAGGACTAATTTAACTGATAGTATTCTTTGTTAAATGAAAGATGCATTTTTCTTCTAATTTTTGTATTTGGTATTATTATAATAATCTCATTTAGTTCATAGCTAGAGTAACCTTTACAAAGAGAGTTTGGTTTGATGGTTATCTTTTTTAATGACTTACTTCTATGGTAACTGTTTGCACAGCTTAAAGCTCAAAATGATCGAGAAACACAGAGTATGGATGTCATATTTACCGAAAGACAAGCGTAAGTTCAGATTTGTAAATGAGTTTTGGTAGATGGTTTAACTTGTGAGTCATTTACTTCCTTATAAAATTTTAACTTTTTCTCTTAATTTGCTTTTTTTCCTTTATAAATAATACCATTCATAATTTCCACCTCCTTCCCTCCTCCCATTTTCCTCCCACTCCCCCACTCACCCTCTCCCCTCCCCCTTCCCCACTCACCCTCTCCCCTCCCCCTCCAGTCCTAAGAGAGGGCAGGGTAGGTACCCTGCCCTGTGGGAAGTCCAAGGTCCTCCCCCCTCTATCCAGGCCTAGGAAGGTGTGCATCCAAACAGACTAGGATCCCAAAAAGCTAGTACATGCAGTAGAATCAAATCCCAGTGCCATTATCGTTGGTTTCTCAGTCAGCCCCCATTGTCAGCATTGGCATCTTACTGACCTGTTACAAACATATATTTGTAATAGAAAATTATCATTTTTTTCTTAATTTACCATAACATCTCAATACAAAATCTATCTTAAAGTCAAGGAGCCGAATAGTATACAAAAGAAAGAATACCCAATTCTATAAATATGATTTCTGCTACCAAGAACTTAAACTCTAAGATGAATTATGTCTTTATATCTACTCTTAGAATTTATCAGAGACTTTTAACTAGTTTGACATTTTAGTTCTACTTTAATGAAAGCAGTTATTAGTCAATAAGCTTTGTACATTAACTGACATTATGGTAATTATATTCTCTATGATAATGTAATTCTCATAATATTATATAATTCTTTATGCGGTCTATAAATTATATGTGAATTTATACATAACTTACTTATAAAGACTAAGTATGAACTAGTTTTGATTTCCATAATAAAATGTAACATTAATCTCTACAAGATAATAAATATGAATTAAAATAATTTTTAAAATTAGTTTTGACCAATATCAAATACTTCAGCATATGGTAAGGTAAATGTAAAAGTTGAGCTATGGTGTATAAACATATGTATAGCATTCTGTTCCAGAAGCTTACTACTGTTAATCTGTTTGAGAGCAAGGTTAGTTATTAACCAAAATTACTGAAGTTTATTAACACCAAATACACTCCCATGTTACTTCTACAGTAGACAACCTGATGAAGAATAGGCTGTTAAATATAATAATAAAATATTTGGGAGAGAAATAATAATTCCTCTGTTAGTTAGAAACAAAGGAGTATCTTTCCCCCACCAATCATTAATACTTCTCTACATAACTTTCTTAAATATGGCAGCCTCTTCTTTATACAAAGAATACCAAACTCTTTCTTCAAATGTTTTCTTGCTTCCTTTCCTCCCCTTTCCTTCCTTCTTTGAAACCATTGAGCAAATGTATGTCATTTATTTGCTGTTTACAAGATTCTCTTTTAAGTACTCTCTCTCTATATATATATGCAAACATATAAGTTGTAACTCTGAATGCTTCAAAGATTTTAAAACCCTATTTTATTATCTCAGAATTTATGCTAATACCAAAATTGTATATATAAATTTTACAGTTTTATGTTTTAAAGGTGTGTATGCTAGAAATAAAAAGTAAAAGATTTGAAAAGTATTTGGTCACTGGGCTTAATCTTGACTATGTATTTAGAGGAACTAAGGATGGCCATACATATTGACAACATATGGAAAAAGCTTCCATTTTTGCCATCATTGAGTGTGGTTTGATTCTCTGGTTTATTATGGAAAAGCTGTCTAGTATAAGCTGGTTGTATGTATAGCCCCAGCAAATGATTGCAACCATGTTTACATAGTAAATATATGATTTTAATTGAGTCATCTTTCTAGTTTGGCATTGGTCAAAATAAACTGTCCTTTAAAAACATATTAGTCACAATTTTATGTTCATTTATTCTTCCTCAGTCAGATATTTACTAACTACCCAAATAATAAATTGTTGAATGTAAGAGATTACGTATAATCTTACTTATATTTTATTTTATACTATTTCTCCAAAATTAATTTTTAGATCTTCTAAGCAGGAAATGTTATTTAAGTAGACTGATAGATTATTTAGAAAAAGATGCTTTTTGTTTTAAAATTGATACTTAAAATAAATTATAATTAATAAGACTGAATATGTTTGTATTCTTTGTGTTACTATAAACATTAATATGTATTAACAAAAATCAGTCATTTGGTTCAAGGAACATATTTTATTTTCTATCTGTGAACATTCCAACTGAATGTACTATTTATATAACCTTTAAATATTTTTAAATTTATTATTGTGTGTGTGTATATATGTATGTATGTGTTGGCACACTTGTAACATAGTGTACATGTGGAGCTCAGAGGACAACTTGATTCTCTCTGTCCACCATGTTGGTCTGGGGATTGAACTCAGTTTGCCAGGCTTTGGTGCATGGACTTTGAACTGCTGAGCTATCTTGTCAGCACTGTTTATATAACCAATCTACATTACTAGTCTTTTGTAAGATGTTATCATGTACATTTTTTGAATATGTTTATTAACTAGAAATTGGAACATCAGAATCGGAGCATTGTATACCCATGTACTCATTTCTAAGTTTTGTCAGCACATTTCCAGCTGTGCTCCATCTTCAACTCTAGTCACTGTCCTCTTCTGTGTATGTGGATGACGAAAATCATACAAAATGTTACATATTTCATCCACAAGTAAAGTTCAAAAGTTCAGTGTTTTGCCATAACCTTATCTCTAAAATAATCAGATAAATACATTGAGTTCCCTGCATATAGAATGGTAAATCACAGACTCTGCTAATTTTTGATTGTACTCTTTAAACTGGTAAGTGGTTCAGATTATATTTGCAGCTAATTCATTATACAAGGATTGGTAACCATTTCACTTTAGATAGACCCTTCCTATTTAGGGTTAGCATTTCCAGAGTGTGTCCTTTGGTCTTTTAATGTGCTGTGAGCTTTTAGCTATATTTCCAAGGAAGGGTTTGGTTATCAAGTAAATTTTAAAGTTTCTTTGTGTGTGTGTGTATGTGTGTGTGTGTGTATGTATAATATATGGGGGAGTAAAAACTGAGGGTTTTTTTTTACATTTACATTACATTTGCTATGTAAATGCTCTTCAAAACTTACTATTTTACTCTGCGTTATCAGAGAACACCTCAGCTTAGTAAAATCTATATCAATACTAAAGGAAAGAATCTTAGTTCACCTTGTTTAAATTCAGATTCTTTTGGTAAGTTGACTAGGTACCTTTTCCTTTTTCTGTAAATGCTTGTCAGTGTCATTGTAGAAAATCAGTGTTTTAGAAAACAATTTGGGAAGCATTGCTCTGTTTATTGAAACACAACCAGATATGTGTGGATTACCTAAGTATTCCTCAGCTCTAGCTCAGAATGATTTGAAAAATAATCTCTCAAAAGAGATATAGAAATGTGTGTTTTAAAAGAAAATTCATGAGTAGTTGTGATGCCCAGTTTAGAAACCATTGTAATATTGAATATAGCAATTGTATGTGGAACCCTTCCTAACAATCACTGTCAAAATCAGTAGCGATTATTAGGGATTATTCCTAAACATTGTGCCTATGCTTTAAATTGCTGCAAGTTTTTAAGAAAACTTTTTTAGGTTCAGGCAGTGAGCATTAGACCAATTTCTATAGTCAAAGATCCTCACTTTGATGATATAAATCTAAATTTTGTATTACTTTATTGATTAAAATTTAGTATAATTTCAGACATTGCAGCACATGCATTTGTTAATACCAGATTCTGTTCGTTTTCGTTAGTAAATAATCATTCTTAGGCTTTGTTTTTACCAGTTTGTGGTTTTTTGAATACTTCTGACACTAATAAGTGGTGGTGGTGTAGATAAATTGTTCAGCTTTTAGCTAACCAGAGTATGAGTTACTGCATTTGGACTTGCTTGTGCAATACAGCAAAAAAAAAATTGTATGATATTTACATAAAGTACTGCTTAATATGACGGTTTGCTGGTTATAGGTTTTTTTTTGCAAATAAAAATCTTTTTGTCTAAGCTATAAGTAGACTAATAATATTTTTTCAAATTTTCAACATGATAAATTATTTTTCTTCATGTACCTCATTGACATCTATATATCTGTCTTCAATAAAGCCATCATCATTCTCCACAAATGAATGCAATTGTTCGAATATTACTGTGATGTCTTCAGAGTTTGTATCTGTTATTTGTGAAAGAGAGCTTGGGTTTCTAGTAAGATCACTGTCATAGGTTTCTGCTTCATGCTCTTCCAGGCGATGATGATTGTAGCTAAGCAGAATATTATACCATACCGGACATTTGATAGCAATAAAGATGAGGAGTGACGTTACCAGTACAGTGACGACAACACCAACAAGGAGAACCCAGCTTTTTCCAAGAGGTTCATGTCCTTAAATAGAAGAGAGAGAAATTTTGTTGACAAAAGTCGAACAGTGTTAGAAAGGAACATACTTTACAGTTTTCTTTGAATTAAAATTACTAATACACTAAAGAAAACTATGGTCAAAGAACATTGTTTTCAAAATGGCTAAAGGCTGAGCAATCCTAGTTAAAAAACCCAAGATGCTCCAAAATCTAAAACTAACTCATTGAGCACTAACATGATTTCACAAGTGGAAATTCCATAGCAGTACTCCAGGGATAGGCCACCGTAAAAATGCAGATGCCCCAAAAGTACTGTATAAAATTATCTTCAGACCACATGCATGTGATATTTTGACACATAAATGAATTTTGTGTATAGACTTGTGTATCCTCTCATGTTTATGCAGTAGCCCATACTAAAAACCAGGTATTGTTACTAGCTCACATGAAACCATTAACTTATACTTGTGAAGTGTGGTGTCTTGACTAGCAAAATAGTTAGCTAACTAATACACAATTTCATGTGAATGATATATAGTAGAGCTTCAGTTGGAATTCCAGTATTTTGTAAACCTTCATTGAGATGAATTGTTTTTTTACCTTGTTCATAGAAGCTCAGAGTAGTGAAAGACAAGGAGAGCCGTGTGGTTAGCTGACACACTCAGCAATAGTAGTGCTCAAAACCAGTACATTACCTGAGTTCCGTGTTAAGTTTTTTAAGGAGCTATTAGAAGTTGAGTTCCCAATGGACTGGAAATTAATATACAGATCTTCAGTTATAGTGGAAATAAATTTAGAGTGGCATTCAGCTGTGAAGGGTGCTGACTTAATGCTGTAGTGTTTTAGGTCATCTGGGTAGCTACACGTAGTGATGTTCTCATTTTCTGGTAAAGAAATAAATTAAGATGTATTATTGACAATAGAAGGGGCTCATAACATAATGTTGATATAGAAGTTTTGATAAGTTGGCTTCATAGAGAGATAATAAGAAGGACTGGAAAGGTATCTCAGTAGTTAAAGCACTTGCTACTCTTGCAGAGGATCAGTGTTTAATTTCCAACTTTCACATGGTTGTGCATGACCATCCTTAACTCTAGTTCTGGGATCCAATGCCCTCTTCTGACCTTCACAGGTACCAGGTACACACATGGTGCACATACACTTAGACAAAACACTTAAACACAAAATATAAAATAAATGAAACAAAAAAATTATTATAAGAGAAAAGAACTCTTGATGAGTTTGTATGACAACATGAGTGTTGATGCATATTTCTGTTATACAGGTTAATTGAAGTTTTGTAGTTTGTATGTTAGAGAGTTTTATGATTAAGATTATTGTTATAATCTGAATCCCAAGCCGAGTATGATGTGCAGTTAACAAAATCAGACAACACCTTGAGTTCAAGCCCCAGTGCTGGAAAACAAGTAACTAACCAACCAAAGGGACCTCTTTTTGTGTATTTTGTGGTACAGTACCCTAAAGAATAGACAGGAAGTACTTGAAGAAAAATTAATCTTTTTTTAAGCTAGAATTTCACTGTGTAATCCTGGCTTGTCTGGAACTCACAAAATTCTTTCTGTCTCTGCCTACCAAGCTTTGGAATTAAAGGTATGCACTACCACACCTGACACGTAAAAATAACATTACATAATGACTCTGCATGTTTAATACTACTTGCACATATTATTGTTTAAATTATCACCCTCTGCCAGGTAGGCTAAGTGCATGTCTATTCTGCAGTTTCTTCCAGGTGGTATTTTTGCTTTTTTTAATTTATTGTTTTGTTCGGTTTGATATTGGCTTATTTTTAACTGTGCTAAAGATGAAGTTCAAGGCCTGAGTCTACCAATGAGCAGTACTTCCAGCCCAGCTGTTTTCTTTTATCTATTCCAATTCTGACATAAGCCATCAAAGTTCTTTCACATTGTCTTCTCGCTTACCTAATATCACATTAGACTTGTTCAGCCAGTTCTGTAGCTGGAGTAGACCACAGGTGCAGTTCCATGGATTTCCATCCAATGTTAGCAGTTCCAGATGAAATAGTTGTGGCATATCAAAGTGGTTTATCAAGTTGCCTTGCAGATTCAGAACTCTCAGGTTGAATAGAGGTACAAATGTATTGGGATTAAGTTGTAATATTTTGTTTTGGCAAAGATATAACTGTTTTACTTTATTTAAGCCAACAAATGAGCCCTGTTCAATTACACTGATGGAATTTCCACAGATGTTTAAAATTTCTAGGTTGGAGAGATTACTGAAACTATTATTGTGTATGGCAGTAATGCTGTTCTCCGTCAAGTAGAGCTCAGTGAGTAAAGAATACATCTGTAGCACCCTGATGTCCGAAGCATTCAGTGTGATCTGGTTATAACTGAGATCAAGGATGGTAACACTGTTACTGATACTCTCTGGAATAAAGGAGTAATTCCTTCTGGTGAAATTACATTTGACTTCCTAGAAAAGAAAAAAAAATAGAAATGTTTTAATCAGGGAAAATTCTAACAGAAGAGATTAAAGTTAACCGGGTGGTGGTGGCGCACGTCTTTAATTCCAGCACTCAGGAGGCAGAGGCAGGAGGTTCTTTGTGAGTTCGAGGTCAACCTGATCTACAAGTTCCAGGACAGGTACCAAAGCTACAGAGAAACCCTGTCTCAAAGTACCAAAAAAGTCCCCCCAAAACAAAAAACATATCCAAGATGAGATATTGAATAAAAAAATTCTGGAAAAAAATTATACTTTAATTTGGAAAAGAAAGAGCAAACATAGTTCTTTATGGAGATGAAATACTGAAGATTAAGGAATTCTGGTACAACTACCCAAGGAAAGTACTTTGTTCCATAGGTGTCTTCCACCTGTTACTATATAAGCATTACAGAAAGAGTATTTCTCTATTTTTTCTTATAAAACTATAAGGGAAATAGCAGTTTTGTTGACTTACTTAATCAGGAATGTTGGCACATGCCTGTGATCCCTGCACCTGGGAGATTGTGGCAGGATACTAACAAATTCAAGGCCAACTTTGGCTATACAGTGAGATGCTTTCTCAAAAAAAAAAAATTAAAACAGACTAAAATCTTTGATGTTAGCATGCAAGATAGATAGATATATGGGGAAGTTTGAAGTTTGTGGCGATACCGTCACATACCTAGAACTATTAGATAATCCAAATCAATGCCCAACACTCTCTGTTGGTATGACAGCACAAAATTTTGGTATTTTAAAAGTAAATAATTGTTTTCTATCAAATACAGAACCATGCTGGATGTGGTGATACACAATTTTAAGCACAGGTAGAGGCAAATGGCTCTTTATAAGTTCAAGGATAGCCTGGTTTACATTGTTGTCTCAAAACAATATAAAAATAAAATAATGATTATTAATGAGCTATTAATACAAGACATGATTCCCATATGTAGCTATACATCGAATAAATAGTTCTTGATAGGTTCTGCAGTTGCATGATGGTAAGTTGTATCAGTGAACTTTTCTTACATTTAATGATTTTTGTTGATTGACATGGGGGGTTGTTTGTTTTGATGTTGGTTTTGTTTGTAATAGGGTTCCAGTATATTGCATGAGCTGGCCAAATTCTGATCATCCTGCCTCATGCTAATACACTTTGGATTACAGGTATATGTCAACACAACTGACTTAGTTGCTTAAAATTTTTTTCGGCAGAATTGGGATTGATCCCAGGGCATTAAACAAAAGCTCTCCCACTAAGCTCTACTCCTAAGCTATATCCTGTTTCTTTACATTATTATTATTTTGCATATGTACAGTATGTGCTTGCCTGTGCATGAGGAAGAGGAGAGGTCAATGTTGGATGTAATTCAGATCCTCTTGCTTGCACTATTTCCTCAGCTATCTTGCCCCCATTCTATGATTTGAACTGACTTTTTTTTTTTTTGTCTTGAAACTAATTTCTGATTTTATAGTGAAAATTTACAGGGCTCTATTCAGTTTTAAAGTTTTTTTTTTTGCTTTTATGTGTGTGTGTGTGTGTGTTCCTGCATGTAAATATGTGCATCATGTATCTGCTTGCTATCTGTGGAAGTTAGAAAAGTTCTTTGAATCTCCTGAATCTAGATTTGTATATACATATGTGCCGACATGTGGGTTCTGGGAACTGAACCTGGGTCCTCTGCAGGAGCAGAGTGTACTCTTAACTCCCGAACCAGCTTTTTATTCCCATTTGCTTAGCTTTGAAAAAGAATTCATTTTATAAAACAAAGAATGCTTTTGCTCAGAGGTTACAGAATTTTAGTGTATATGGATAATTACAATTTAATTTTTATTTTATTATTTATGTATATGTGTGTGTGGTTGTGTGTCCGTGTCCGTGTCCATGTACGTGCATGTCATAGCACATGTGGAAGCAGAGGACAGTTTTCAGGAGTCAGCTCTACCTTTTATAGTGTGTTTTGGAGCTGGAACTCAGATTGCTACACTTTGGCAAGCACATTTAGCTGTGAAGACATTTCGCTGGTTCTCAAGAGTTAATTTTTAATAGTTCATCAATTGTCTTTATTTCTCTTTTGCTGGTCTTTTGCTTTTATATATTTTACTACTTTTTTACTATTGTTTGTAAAAACTTACTGTTTCAGAGGCCTGGCTTTTGTCAAATAGTAGCATAGAGAGTGGCCAAAACACGGTCATGAAGTGTGTGATTTTCATACTGAAGGCCTAAGAGAAAAGAGAATAATTTTATTTCAAGAGATGAACTTTAGAGGTTAGGAATACTGATTTCCTTTTTCCCCTTTACATATATTTTTCTTTTAAAATACAAAAAATATGAAGCAATAACATTGCATTTCATTATCCTGTATACTAACTTACCTTAATAAACTGAACAGTCTCTGTGGACACCAAAACTCAGTATTTTTCTAGGATGTGTTATTAGCTTCAGAGCTAACAAAAAGAAAAAAAACCCTTATAAATAATTTAAATTCTTGTGTTAAAAATTTTCAGTATATATATATAGCTAAAAAAGCCCAGAGGAATATATATTTGCAAATATGTCCAAATTTAAGTATATATTTAAATTGATGCTTTTTGATAATTCAATTTGGGGTGTTGTATTGATATTGTAGATTGATTTGTAGTGATGGAAGACAAAAATTACTTCACGTATTCACTACTGTAACCTCCAGTATGTTGACTGTTCATTTCTAACACTTAATGGATTTTACCAGATGAATTTTCAGGGTTTATAATGTCACGACCATGTGTAAATTATTGATTACTGAACCATGCAGCATGATTACTCTTTCCATTTTAGACTTTTTTATAAGCTGAGCTTTTTAAAATGTGTTTATTTTTTCATGTTTTTTTTTTGTCATGAATTTATTCCCATGCTGTCCTCTAGCAAATCTCTCAGTAGGTAGTGTGTACTAAATATTTCCTTGTCAACTACATGAAAAGCCTCTCCTGGAGCTGTTGCTGTGCTTAGTTTAGACACGCTGACCAGGGATGACGTCCATGTTCATGTCTGACTTTCATGTACAGATCCTCCATAGTCTTTATTATAGAGACAGGGTTTCTCTGTAGCTTTGGAGCCTGTCCTGGAACTAGCTCTTGTAGACCAGGCTGGCCTCGAACTCACAAAGATTCACCTGTCTCTGCCTCCCAAGTGCTGGAATTAAAGGCGTGCGCCACCACCGCCCGGCCTTTAACAGTTCTTGGTCTTGCTTTATTGTTTCATTTTTTTTTGGTGGGGCATCATAATTTCCAAGGACCGCAGGAAGGATGTTTTTGCTGTTTTTAACCTTAAGAGATTTTGGCTAGGTAGGAAATAATTTTCCCTTAAAATACTGATGGCCATTGTTGTACTGTTTTTAAGTTTCAGTACTTATGATTTTCCTGGTCTTTGTCATCTTGTCCACCTTGCCTCTCCCTAGTCCTCAGAGCACTAAAGTCAGTGTTTTCAGACTCATGAGCCTGTGCCTTTTAAAGTTTGATTTCATCAGTCAGATGGGTACCTGGTTCTCTTCCAATCTGGAAGTTATATCACTCAGTTCTGAGAAAATTCACTTCTAAATTATTCCATTGATTGATAATACTAATTGTAGAACTACCTAAATTGAGTATTGTACCATCTGGAATAACTTCCATTTTTCAGATCCTCATTTTCCTATGTATGTTGTAGTTTGCTTTACTACAATTGTACTTGGAGACAATCTCAACTTTATCTTTCAAGTTTTTTTCCTATATCCTTTAGATTCTAAACTTTTTTCTTTCTTTCTTTTTCTTCTTTTTTTAATGAATAACTTTTGTGTACCCGTTTTATTTTTTTACAGCTCTGGAAGCTTTCTTCATGAATTTTACTATTTTGCTTGGGGGTAAAGTGTGAAACTAAGCACCTGATAGAAAACTGGGTGTTTGCATTGTTGACTTTAGACATTCCTGTAGAATGAATGTGCTGGACTTTTGAGGACATTCTCAAATGTCATTACCTTTCTTTCAGGCTAGTTGTATTTCACAAAATCTAAATTACTTCTTATACATACAAGGCTTTGTAGCAATCATTTTAAGAACAGAGTGGTAAAAGGTGATTTAATACTAATATTTGGTGTATCAGATATAGCTTCATCTAAGCATTGTTTCTCTTTTTGCTTGGGTCTAGTATCCAAATTCCTCTGCAGAAAAAGCAAGTTCTCAGCTTCTATAAAGAAGGAACATCACATGTCATAGTAGAGGTATGGAGGACTTTGTGCCTCCTCCTCTGTTTCCAGAATAGCTGATAATGGTAATTTCTGAACAGTTTAAGTTCCTGTAATAGAAATCAAGTGGTGTTTCTGTTTTTTTCCATTGTTAACATGAGAAAAACTTGCTTTTTCAGTTACCATTTAACTTTCAGACTTGTAAATCTTATTATTGTTACTTCCTAGTCCATTTTCTATTCTTGTGAGTTTATACTCCCCTTTACCTTGAACTTTTATTGTGGTCAAGTTTTGAATAGAAGTCAAAGTTAATAGGTGTATTCGACGTGCTGCTCAAAGTAGAAATTGCCCTTTATTGAAAAGTAATATTCTTAGTATTTATTTTCTATTTCATTGTTTATTCATATTATCTGTCTACCTATTTTCTCAAAGTCGTCACGTATTTGAAAGGATATAATTATTTCCTGTCATCTTTAGAGGTCTGCTAAAATTTAATCACTTTTACCTTTCTAAGCAGTTGTTATACTTATTTAAGATATTTAAAGAGAAAATTATTACATCCAAGAAAGAAGGAAAAAACCAAGTAGAGTAAGATTCTTTTCAAGTTACTGAAGCCTGCTTGCTCTTCAGTGATAAGAATTTATTATTTTTCATTGCTGGTATGTTCTTGTCCACTCATTCATTGCTTTCAATTTGTTGATATGTTTGGCTTTATTTCTCTTCTTTTTGTCATTTCATGTTTGCTAGAAAAAGTTACTTGCCTCCTAGATTTTATGCAATATAAGTTTTATATGAAATACATTTTTATCACTCTTTTAGAGCCAGAATTTGAATTAAGCTACAATGTACTCCACACCTTTGGCTATAAAAAAGAGATGCCTAGGTTATTTATGAAAGCTAGCTTATCTGTACTTAGTGATCTCTAGGAATACTTGGGCAGCCTCTTTGGCGGCTTGCACTGTGGTATGGTAAGTTAGTACTAATGTCCTCAGTGGTATGCACACATGAGTGAGGAGGGCTAAGTAATGGAGAAGTACTAGTTTTTCAGCCATATGGGATAAGGATAGTTAAAGAAAGGAAATAGGCTACGAAAAATTAACTAGTTTAAGTGAAGAGATGCTGGTAAACAGAAGCAAATGAGGGTCCATGCTTTTAATCCCAGCTCTGCAGAGGCAGGCGAACCTGTATGCGTTTGAGGTCACCCTGATCCTCATATGTGTTCCAGAACAGCCAAGAGTAAATAGAAAGACCCTGTCTCAATAAGCAAAATACAGATGAAGAATAAAGTGGAGTCAAGGTAGGGCTGTGAGCCATTTGGGAGAAGGAGATAGGGGACCATGTTGTATTTATCATTTAGTAATTGTTTTCTATAGTGTACTAAAAGAAAATTACGAAGATTAGAAATATCTTTCTTCTTAATGAATTTTAGAATTAAAAGCAGCATATAGTAAAGGTTCTCCTTTCAACATCTACAGTGTTACTGTTTAAAGTTGCAACCCATGCTGTCTACAGGCTTCTTCACACGTGTGTGTGTTTAGCTAGGGGAGATCAAGAGAGAGTGAATGTTAAGACTGTGATACCACACAAATCCACAGACAAAAACATGTCTTTCAGTGTTGATTTAAAAAGAAGACAGTAAAAAAAGGGGGGCAGTTAAATAAGGCCATTTCTTTGGGTTTTTCTCAATTTGAAAGTTATTTTGAAATGATTTCTGTCTTTTGAAAGAATTAATAACATCAGGAAGAAATAGAGCACCAGTTTCTAATAGCTGGTGTATGTATTTAAGAACCTTTACACAGGAAAACCAAATCTAAACACAAAGTGATGATGTTGTTACAGAATTCATATTCTTCTTATAGGAAGTTTACAGTATGAGTTTAGGAATTTTAGCTTATTATGTGCACTGAGATAAAAGTATGCTGTACATATTTTGATTTTGTTAAAGTCCAGAAGTAATTTTGTCCTTCAATATTTTAGATATTTATACCACAATACAGTTCATTTGAAGTGAGAGATTAACAATTAACAGTTATCTTTATTTCTTTCCTTAACTACTGTGTGATATTTGAATTTTAAAAGTTAAATAATAAAAAAACTTATATTTGAAATTATTTTTGAAAGCTGTTTAATAATAGTCGTTATTACCCAACTTCAGAAATTTCAGCTAGTGATTTTTTTTTAATCTTGTAAATTTGTTTTAAGGTTAAAGTTACTTTAGATTTTGCTGATTAACATTTAAAATAAAAAATTCTTAAAAATTTGATTAGTAGATGAAAGCTTTGTATATCACTATAACTTTATTTGTAAAGCACTGTTGGTCACTTCCTAGATTTATATTATTTCTGCAGTAGACAGTATTAAAATATGATCATGTTAGTCACTAAGGCAAGAATTGCTCTGCAGATTTAACAAAGTGAATTTCTTTAACTCAGTAACAACAACCAGATCTTAAGTATATAAGATCTTACCTTTCCTTTGTCTTTTTTGTATCTGAGACGGGTGTGCTCAAGACATTTATTCTGGTTCTTCTACGCCATCAGAAAAGCCTGTGTCACATGATTGCGTTTCACTTTGTCTTAACCTTTGTACCCAGTGAACAGGTGATTAGGAAGCTGGTATTCCTTAGCAAAAGATTGACTAGAATTTCTTAAAGACATCCTTGACTTTTTTTAATGTAACAAATAACAGTTTGCTTAGTTTTTTGTATTTTGTTTCAAAATTTTATCAAAATATTAACAATTTTGTTTCGTGATTTAAAGTGTATAATACTGGGAGTATTTTGAACCATGTTTCTAAAGCAATGTGGTCAAAGCTATTTTGTATTTTGTTAGATTCAAGTATACCACCAAGTTTTATATTCCACTGCCTTTCAACATTGCTGTTTGCCCACTTTTATGGTACCTTGCTTTTATTGTCACTTTACTGCCAGGTTATAGCAGGAGCAAAGTGCTCAAGCCGTCTAGAACCTGACAGCCATTATATGTCTTCAGAAAATAATACGCACCTTCCTTGTGATGCAATCTCAGCCCTCTGTAAATGAAATACTATATAATATTAGCTTCCATCTCACTACATGGACAGTGGAAGAAACAATGTTTGTTGAGTAATGAAATGTAGAATGAGTTTTCCCAAAATGATAGCTCCTTGGTTGGTGTCTTGGTAACTTAAAAAAAATACAAAGATTGAAATAAATGACATTTTCTGCTTCAGATTTCTGTGAGCTCATGTGCACTCACATAAATTTTGGTAGTAGAAATCCCATTGTTACATTTTAAGGATTTGTGGTCAGAGGGAAAATATCATGCCTGTTCAACAGTGAGGCAAAAGTAAATTGCAATTTCCATTGTCTGTTATGTTACCTTCATCTTTTATTTGGTTATTCTGAGACGTTTGTAGGAAATGTTCTAAGTTTAGGTGCTTTTGCTAGTTGTAGGACATGAATGTACAGAAGGTAAATGGATCTAATGGAGTTAGCTATTAATTGATTAAAGATAGTACAAATTATTATCTATGAGTGAAGGCTGTAAATAATGATAAATCAGATTTTCGAAAACTAGTGAGAAATTCATGATCTGGGCACTAAAAATGTATGTTGATCAAACTTACTCTTTCCACTATTCTGTCTTCTTTTTGTGACAGGTTCTCACTGTGCAGCCCTGTCTGGCCCAGAATTCCCTATGTAGACCAGACTGGTCCTGAACTCAGAGATCTGCCTGCCTCTGCTGCCCAAGGACTGGGGATTAAAGGCATGGGCCATCATACCTAACAAATAAATTCTGCCAGCTTTATTTAATGAAATGACCCCTCGTAGGTCAACCATACTCTAGAAGGACAGGCTCCACTCCCAAGAGAATTGCACTATACAAACTGCACTGGGCTGGGGGCAGGAGAGATAACTCAAAAGTTGGGGAGAAGGAGCTATATGAGAATAGAGAGGGCAGATATGAGAGGAATAGTGTACGGATCAAAATATATTATATGATCTTCAAAGAATTAATAAAAATACTATTTTTTAAAAAGGAACAATGTGTAATCTATTAGTAATTGACTGTGACGAAAATAAAATACAGAGTATACTAGTATTTCTTGTGATTATATTGTGATTTCATTATTAGGGTGGCTATTATTAAACAATGGTTATATTTTTCAGGAAATTAATGTATTATGGTGCTAAATATGCTTGTTAAATATCCATTTGTTTTAGCTAGGGTTTTATTGTTGTGTAGAGACACCATGACCGTGGCAACTCTTATAAAGAAAACATTTAAATGGGGTGGCTTACTTACAGTTTCAGAAGTTCAGTTCATTATCATCATGGTGGGGAGTAAGGCAGCATGCATGTAGAGCTGAGAGTGCTACATCTTGCAGGCAACAAGAAGTCAACTGACTGTCACACTGAGGGAAGCTTGAGCAAAAGAGACCTCCTCAAAGCCTGCCCCCACAGTGGCACACTTCCCAACAAGGCCAAACCTCCCTTAAAAGGCCATTTTTTTTTTTCAAACCACCACACCATTGTATTTAAAGTAATAGGTAAAAGGACATTTAAGCAAAGTATATTAATGATCTTAAGGTATAATTTCTTTTAAAGTTTTTATTAGAATTTTATTGTTGTTGTTTTTGTTGTGTGTCCGTGTGCATATGAGTACTCAGGTGACATGGAGAGTGTGGATTATGTCTGCCCTGCTTTGATTGAAAGATTATCAGACATGTTCAGCAACATGTCACTTAGACTCCCTGAGCCATCTCACCCAACCTATGATTTCCTTTTTTTAAAAGATCAAATTGTGGGGCTGCACAGTGGCTCAGTGGTTCAGAGCACTTGTTCTTACTGTGGATTGGTGTTTGATTCCCAGCACCCACTGGCATAAGCTCTCTGCAACTCTAGTTCCAGTGATCTGACACCCTCTTCTGACTTCTATGGGCACCAGACATACACATAGAGCACGTACATATATGCGTCAGAACATTCATTCATATAAGATAAATACATCTTAAAAAAAGTATTCATATTGCAGTGTAGCTCTCTGAATTGGCCAGTGCAGTCAGAGCAGCCTTGCTTTAAATGATTCACGTGGTAACTTTCTCTACAGAGCTTGGCTTGATCAGAGAAGGCTGTGACTGAAAGTCACCATTGTAAGACGAGTATGATCACCAAAAGATAGTGAACCACATATGTACATAGGCCTAAGAGATTGTGTGCGATAATCTTTCTTTTATTCATACATTTAAGTGGAGAATAAAGAAACTGGATTTGGGGATGCAGAAGAGAAAAGTCTGTGCTGAGGGCATCAAGTTTTATATACTTTTTTTTTTTTTTTACAAGATAAGGACTTTAACACACTGAGGTTGATTTTCTTTTTAAGTACCTCTAAATAAAATTATTTAATTTTTTTCTCCCTCAATATACTAGCAGAAACATTGCATGCTTTTGATTTCAGAAAGGAAAAACAAATCAGAAGTGTAGAAGAAGAAGTTGAGCAAGAAAAGCAAGCAGCAGATGGCATTATCAAAAATATGTCTCCTGAAAAACAAGTCAAGTACATAGAAATGAAAACCACAAATGAGAAACTGCTGCAGGTAATATTACCCTGGGCGGTGTGCTGGGCCTGTAGTGCCGTGCTGCATGTACTCAGAGTCGACATCAGTGTCTCTGAGAACTGAGCTGGACCTGCTAATCAGAATCTCACTGTCACAAAGTCCTCAGCTAATTCCCACAATCTTTGAAATGTGAGAAGCATTGATACAGGCTTCATTTTCTTATGTTGCTTTTAAAAAATGCATCATAGCTCTCTGCATCTTTCAGCTTTATATGACATAGAAGTATATGAAAACACTTGGGTGAAGTTACTAATTCGAGACAAGGTCTCACTATGTAGCCATGGCTGCCTTGAAACTTGGTCTTTAGACCAGGCTGGCCCGGAACTTACAGAGATCCTCCTGGGAGTAAAGGCAAGCACCACCACACATGGTCTAAAATTTGGGGTTTTATGCACTTTTATTGGAAACATTAAAGGGGCTCACAGGCCAGAGGCAGATGGTTATTAGTTTTCTTTCATTTTTTCCCGTTTCATAAGCAACAAACCCTTTTTCTTGTTATGTCTCTGATTTTTTAAAGGAACAGTTTATGTGCCTGCCAATAACACTTCTCAGAGCTAAGCGTTACCATGCTTATTCAAAGATGACACTTTCCTGAAGGATTACCAAAACATTGGGCCACTAGCTGCCCAGTAATGAATATGTTTATTTTCAAGATATTCCTTTTCTCATTTTAGTAGAACTTTTTTTTATCTTAGACAAAATTTATTGGATAAAATGAGTCATTAAAGAAAGAATACTGTACAAATGCTGAACTCCTACCAAAGTATATTAAATTTTATACAGGGTTATGAATGACTAATCAATGGTTCTTTCTCTTTCATCTTTCCTCCTCCTTTCCTCCCTCCCCCCTCCTCTTTTTTTTTCTCTGTGTCAGTTGTCTTACCCTCTCTCCCTCTCTCCATATTTCTCCCTTTGTCCCATTTCATGTCTATGTAAGGGGCTTGACCCTAAAAACATGTAGGCAAAAGATGTGAAAATGTAAAAATATTAGAATTTTGAATCTTGATTTTGAGCAATGGCATCATGAGTTTGAAGGTTTCTGATAATGACTGTGATCAGAACACTGATAGGGTGACTGTGATGGACTTAGGA